TTCTCCTCTCCCCCTGCCCCTTCTCCTCTCCCCCTGCCCCATCTCCTCTCCCCCTGCCCCTTCTCCTCTCCCCCTGCCCCATCCCCAGCATGCCTGTCTGGGTTGCTGTTTTCAGCACCTCGGACAGGGCCGGGGGTGGGGTGGGATGGGTTCCTAATGAAGATGCCATCCGCCCGGACAGCAGCACACAGAGCAGCAGTAGGCATGCACAGTGCTGTTCCACGCCGGCTACTGTCACTGTGGTTTGCTCCCACCCAGACGATTCCCACTCCTGGTGACCCTGTGAGGGTAGAGTACAGTTGTGCCCCCTGGGGTTTTGGAGGCTGTGATGGTGCAGTAAAACAGGTCGCCGGGCATTCTCCTGAGGCACCTTTGGGCGGATCTGAACCGCCAAGTTTTCGGCTAGCAGTGGAGCATTTAACGTCTGCGCCACCCTCTTAGATGTCAAACGCTTTACGGTGCGTCGGGAAAGGACCAGCTCAGGGTTACGATGTTCACAAGGACTGAAGCTGGGACCTGAGACCGGGCAGTGTGACCCTGAGCCACAGAGCTGGACCCTCAACGAGAGGGATGGCACAGTGGCTGTGACACGGGCTCACTCAGGAGGATGGGGCAGCGCCGGGCAGTGTCTCCTGTGGTATGAAGACTCGCAGTAGGTCAGACTCAACAGTATCTAACAAGAACATTAGCTGCAGCTTTTTCTAGTTTCCTGTGCTTCCCAAAACGTGCTCCTTTACACCCCCTCAAGAGTATGGGGTGGCCCCCGCCCCAGTCTTCTTATCCTGCACTCGAGCCTGTGGCTGCGGGGCAGGCCCAGCCGAGACAGTGTGGCTTACATGTGATCAGTCACCTGTACAAGGGAATTGACGGAGGGAATGTGGGGGTTCCGTCCCCCAGCCCCAGCCCTCCCTCCCAGTCACTCACTTCCTTCAACGTCGCCTCTGTCGTGTCGAAGTTGAGGTTTTTAATAAACAGGGTACACCCCGGAAGGCTCTCCTCCTCCTCCTCCTCGTCTTCCTCCTCTTCTTCCATCTTTGCCACTGACGAATCATCTGCTGCTCCTTCTGCTGGCTTTTTACCTTCTGGGGTCTCGCTGTCTGATACTAAGGACACCCCCCCAGAGAAGAGATCCATTAAATGATGTCTGGTTCACAACAACGGACTCAAATGTACGGTGATGATGAAGGTGTAGGTCTGAGGGCTGTTTGGTCCTGCTGTAGGGAACACACTGAACAACCGAACAACCAACCAACCAACCAACCAACCAGGCCCCTCGGCCCCAGGGCCTGACGCACAGAGTCGGCTGGAGGAGGGAGTTCCACCTGCTCCCCAGGCAGATCGGAGAGGGCTCTGCAGTTAGTAACCTGTGCTGGTGTTCAAGAAGTTTGGGGAAAGAGAGTGCTTAAGCAAGACAAACAGACAGGCTGTTCATCTACTTTTTTTTTAAATTTATTATTATTTTTGTGTGTGTACCATCAAACCAGATCTGACTGGTACAGGAGGAGATTGTCCCTCCTTCTTCAGCAAAGCATCTGGTGGATTTGAACTGTGCACCTCTGGGATTGCAGTGCAGCTTCCTGCATGTGGCCACCAGAGCTCCCTAGTCTCACTCTTTTTTAAAAAGGGCAAGATTCAAAATAGACTTAAATTAACCTAAACAACAGAAACTGGACCATCGAAATAATTAACACCAGAACTGCTGCATTGAGCCGCGACTCTAATTAAATCCGCATTATTCTTCCCTGAAACAAACAAGCTCACGTTCAGTGAACTTTTAAACCAAAGAGGTTAAAATAAAACTCAAAATTACAAAACGGGACCAAGAAGTAGACCATTCCAAATATCCCTTGAATTTAAGTGACAATAAACCCAAGTCACTGATTTGATTCCAAACCACAGCGACCGGCCGGTGAAGTTTCTGAAGAGGGAAAGCCTTAAGAGCAGACAGCCCAACTTTCTCCCACCGAGCAGCTGCTGGATTCGAACTGCCAACCTTTACATGAGCAGCCCAACGTGCCATATTTCAGCTAACCCCACCAGGGCTCCTGTCAGAGAGAGTGCATCCATTAAAACTCCAAATGGGCGTTACTCGGGGGAGTATACACTTTAGAATGTGCTTTTATTTATATACAAACTGAACTCTGAATTATGCATACAAGTGAATATATGATTAAACCCCCAAACGACACAAGATTTACGCAGAAAACGTGGCAGCACCGTCAAAGGTGGAGTCCTGTGCAGCTGCTGAAAATGATGTTTCTGGAGAAAGTCTAATGAAATGGAACAAAAAATTCCAGAGGAAAAAGAATATACGGATACCAAGCAATGTGCAGTTTAATTCTCTCTGTAAACACAGTGTGTGCGCCCTTTCCTAAGCATTTCCAAAACTGTCTCCATTCAGAGGCTTCTTTACTTGGATACAAAAAGTTTCTGGAGACATTGTTTGCTTTTAAAAAAAAAAGACTGTACTATGAAGGAAGGTTGGTGGTTCAAATCCACCATCCAGTCTTTGGGAGAGAGATGGGCAGTCCCTTCATGTAAAGATTAACAGCCTTGAACGTGGGGAAGGGTTGCCATGAACGGGAACCGACCCAGCAGCAGTGGGCTTGTTTTGCAAAGGGACTTACTGTGCTTTCCACTGAGTCATTTATCCAGATGTTGTTTTGAGACATTAGTGACAGTGGCCACACTGTGACAGCACTCTTCCCACTCCCTCCTTGTGATTCCATTTCCCTTCATCCCTCCATCCGATTCCGTCCTGCCTTCTGAGCTGTCTCCCCAGTAAATACTGCCCTCACGAGTTTTGTACGCATAGAGAAACACACACGTGCATATACCATACAAGAAAAACAGCCTCTCTATATAACTTTGTACATGTCCTTCTGGTTCTTTCTGGAGAAGGGGGTAAGTGGTTGTAGCTTTCTCCAGGGAAGAACGGTTAAACACTGTCAAACATGTGGGAAACCAAGAGTTAAAGCACGAGGTTGTTAACTGGAGCCCACTAGCTGTTCTGAGAGAGCACAGTCAGCTTCGTCCACCACTCCTCCCTTTTCTGCAGGAACCATTACCACCCAAAGAAGCAGCGTCGGGGAGAAGGAGGAGCGAAGGTGGAGGTGAGGGTTATGGGGACAGTGGGGGTCGGAGACCCGGCTCCAGGTGGGGAGTAGCTGGGATGGCAGGGCCTTTGAGAAGTGGGTCTGGCTACCCTGTGAAGAGCGTGCATCTCACGCAGGGATCAGGTGCCTCGAAGGCTGGGGGCCCAGCAGCACCAGGGCCGTCTGAGAAGCCCAGCTGAAAGGCGCTCTGGTCTAGCTGGTGCACCCTTGGGTGCACACCTGTCTCACAACAGGGTCTCTGTAGCTGTGGCCATGTGCCTCAGGACACAGAAACCTGCCTCCAGAGTTGTCCTGAGTCCCGGAAAGGTGTACCTTTTCCCCTTGCAGCCTCATTGTCTGAGCATATCTGTGCCTGGGAAGGTGAGCCCTGCACTGTGAAAATGGGTGAGGGAGACAACCCACTACCCCTTCCACCTGTCACCAGGCATCATCAGCTCACCTCCAACTCCTGGCAAACCTGTGTGCGCCAGAGCAGAGATGGGCGGATCTGTGGAAGGAGATAGCCAGGCCTTTTCTCGGAGGCACCAGTGGACCTCTGAGTGTGCGAACCATGAGCTCCACGCGCCTTCAAACAGCTCAGGCATCTGTGGGAACCACAGGGACCTCTCGGGGTTCCAATGCAATCCTGTCACTCTGCCTCCAGCACCAGTGTCATTTGCCCTGTCCTCTCTGAGACAAGCTGGCGGCTCTTGGGCCCTAAATCGGCTGCAACTTCTTTGTCATAAAACCTGCCTTTCAAGCCCTTGATGGAAACACCCCAGTGGTAACACAGTCTCCTGAACATCAGCGGGACGTGTGACCGCGTGCCCGGCTCTTCTGTGGTGGTGCTGGGGACTCTCACTCCATGAGAAAAAGAGGAGATAGTGACACAAGGGCTCCTCCCACACCGCCTGGGACAACTCCCCTGATGAGGGACACCATGGTGTGGCCTTTGGAACTTTCAAAGCAAAGAAGGGTGGGCAGAGTGTTATTAACGACTGTGGACAGAAGCTTGCAAAGCAGCTGAGACGGGGTCCTGAGCAATGACTTCAGTGGAAGCAGAGGACACGACCTTCCCGGCCAAAGAGGCTTCCGCCGCACCCGCTCGCTCTGGAGTCCTGCTTCCGGAGATGGAAGGAGAACCAAGGGGACACGTGCCAATTCCCTCCGATATGTGAGGAATTTTGCAGGGTGCCGTCAATACACCAGTAAGCTCATTTGACTCCTGGGCGACCTCACGAGAGAGGCCTTCACGGAGCTGCGCCTTGAAGGCTTCCAAGGGCTGCTCTGTGTGGAAGCAGAGTGCCAGGCCTTTCTCCCGAGGTACCTCTGGGTGCACAAACGGCCAACCTTTCCATTTGGAACCACCCAGGGACTCCAGTTAATGATCTGGAGCTGCTCTTTAGAGGCTCTTCAGGGTGGTGTGACACATCGTCTCACGTGTTTCGTGCACGCTGCCGGAAGGGGCTTCTCCTTGGACAAACACACACTGGGAGAGGTGGGGGGATCAGAGCCAGAGAGGAAGAGTCTCAACAAGGTGGTCTGATCAGGACAAGGGGCTGGAGTGAATCGGAGATGACGAGGGGCAGGACGGGGCTGCGTTCAGATCTGTTGCTCACAGGGTCCCTGTGAGTCACAGCTGAGCAGAGGAGACTTCACAACTTCCACCTTAGAGCCCAAAGAGGCCAGGGGGAGCGGGGGGGGCGGGGGCGGCATGGGAGGTTCAGCGAAGACTAAACCAAGCCAAGCACGTCTCCATCCAGCCGCTCCGGCTCACTGATTCTCCAGGAGCAGAACTGGCTGGCCGGGCCCGAGGCTGTCATCTCCACGGAGCAGACAGTTACGGCTTCCTTCCGTGGAACGGCTACTGGGCTGCAAGCACCCAACTTCCGTTAATACCCAAGCACTGAACCACTGCGCTACCAGGGCTCTTTCCAAAGATGAGAGACAAGGTTTTGAATGACGACAGGGCAGAGCAGGGGGCACTGTCCTCTCGGCCGTGTGGCCAGGTCCTCTCGGCCGTGTGGCCAGGCCGGCCCAGTGCGGGCAGACGCCCAGTTCTCTGCAGAGAAGCTGAACACACAGCTATATGAGAAACTTGGTTTTTAAACCTTGGTGACTATGTATCTGGACACCATGCGATGTATGGGGCGGTGGGCAACAACCACACACCTCCTCGGGCCTCTGTGTTTACAGGTTAAAGACCCTTCTCCCGTCTTCTGTCTTGGGGCTCAAACTTCGGAAGGTTCCAGAAGCAGCACAAAGACTCAACCCAGCCATGAAGTCTGGATTTTCAAGGATGGAGCTTAGCTACCACTGGCCAGTCCCCCAGGGACGGATGAAGCCCTGGCTTGGGAAGAATCGGGGGCCCAGGATGATCTGAGGGTTCTGGTTGGCTCACACTGCTATCAGTCAACCCGCATGGCTGTGAGATGACAACACACCAGGGCAGGGACAACGCACAGGGGAACATTCGGACTAGAATCAAAGATGCTCAGTGAAACTCGAACAGGCTCCCTCTTGCAGGTGGGTGTCCAGCTGCCCCAGTGACATTTACCCTGCCCTCGCCACCCTGGTCAGGGGACCCTGAGGGCGCTGGGGGCACCAGCAGGACGAGGGCATCACACTTCTGGGATCTGCTGGGAGTCTGGTGGACATGTGACCTTGAACAAGCCACTTCTTCTCATCAGAAAAGGGGACCAGGATGCCAGCGCCCTCCTACAGGTCCAGCCCGAAGCCCCTTCAACCCATGTCTGGAGCAGATCCCTAAATGGTCACTTTGTGGACAACAATCACAACAATGCCCAGCCCCGTGTCCTCTTTAAGACCGCAGAGATGTGCATCTGCTAAGCAAATGAGGTTCCTGCCTGTACCCCTTCTGTTCACACTGGCCAGCCAGGCCCGGAAGAGGAGTCCACCCCGGGGAAAGGTCGTGACTCTCTAGTCAGGCCAGAGAGCTTGACCTCTCCTGACAGGGGCCGACCGGCACCGCCTCCCACACCTGAGTCTGGGGATCCTGGTGTCACGGTTCAACTATGTCCCCCTAAACACGTGTCAGCTCGGCCAGGCCACGCTTCTCAGGGCCGAGGCAGGAAGGTAATGACGGAAGCACCTCCATGAGGTGACTGGGTGTGATGGGCTTGGATCTGAAGGGAATTAGGGGTTGGATGCAACACTCTCAACCAGGTTACGGCCCTGCTCCGCAGCCTTTAGCCCTGGGTCACCCTCCATCCGACGAAACATGGAAGGAGAGAGAAGAAAAAAAGAGAGGACTTAGTGCCCCCAGGAGAGAAGAGCAGGCGCGGAGGCATCCACTAGACCTGGGTCTGCGCTGTGAACCCGCTGGAACCAGGGGCCACACAGAGAAGGCGCCCCCTGAGCCAGCGCTTCGAGCCAGGCCGCTCGCCTCCTCAGTGCACCTCTGCGTGCGACATCCACCTGTGGCCGTTACAGGAGCAGGACAGCACACGGACACTGGGGACCACGTTCCTGTCATATCAACAAGTACGTGGCCGCCTTGGGGATTCCCCACAACTGGGTCTAGGGAGGTGTGGAGCCCAGTGCACCAAGGGGCGAGGCATTTGACAAAGGTCCTCTGTTCCAGCCCCCCCCCCCCAGGGAGGCGGGAACAGAAGGAAATGTGGTGCTGTGGAATCCACACCCATCTGTGGCAAGAGAGACATCAGGAACCAGAAAGGTGGGGCCGTAAGAGCACCAGAAAGAGAGCCGGCCTGTAAGCCTGCTGGGGCGGGGACGGGGGAGAGCGGGGGTGCGTAAAAGCAGGCTGGGTGGTTGGGGGCTGGGGCGCGGGGGAGAATGCGTGGCTCGCACAATCAAATCCAGTCACGCAGGGCCACGAGGGGCCTCATTCTAATCGGGCCCAGAACTTCCTCCCTCGCCGGCCCGTGGCGCCCCAGGCTGGCAGCGAAGACTGTTATCTGTGGTGAGCAGCTTTTCAGGACCTCCCTCCGTGTGCAGCCCTTTATCTGGAGGTGAGGGTCTTGGTTGTGGGGAGATAAAACATGCTGCCCCCCCACTTGAGATGGGTACAGAGAACCGGAGAGCGTTCCAGAAAGGAAGGAGGGGGAAGTCGCTGAGCCCACCCTCCTTTGCTTCCTTCTCCCTCATGTCCCCTCCATCCCTCCTCCCTCCCTTCCCTGCAGGATCCCCCCAGCCCTCCAGCAATGGAAGTCCTTCCAGTCCAGGGAAAGAGAGGATGTAAAGAGGGTGGGTGGGGAAGAGCAGGTGAGAGGGGCCGCCAGGGGACCACTGAGGGGGCCAGGCATGCAGGATGGGAAGAAAAGGACCACAGAGCGGACAAGGAGGCCTGGGGAGGGGGCTCCGAGACTGTTCACTGGGGGGCTCAGCACAGGGTAACAGAAATGAGCAGAATCACACAGCTGCCAGTTTTCTGCTCCGGCCAGCAGCTGCCTTTGTGCTGAATAAAACGGCGGCCCCTCCGAGAGGAAGGGACACTAAGGAAGCATTGGAGGAGAACTTGGGGGCGGGCTGGGGGCAAGGGGGTTGGGGGATGGTGGGAGCAGCTTCTTCTTTCTGCCCCCACTACTAAGTAGTTAAATGCTTAACTACTGACCCCCCAGGGGGACCACAAAGAAAGGCCTGGCAATCTATGGCCGTGGCCTTGAAAACCCAAAGAAATGCAGTTCTGCTCTGCACACACGGCCATGAGCTGGAGGAAATTTAATAGCAACTTTTAAAAAAAAAAAACAGTGATTTCCATTTCCCACCTCATTATACCCTCCCTAAAGCCTGAAGAGGTAGGTATGACCATCCCATCACCCCGCTTCAGTCTCAGTGTGAGCAGATGGGCTGCCCAGTGTGAGAAGAGCGTGGCAAGGGCTGCGTCCCTAGACGTGCACGGTTAGTTCCCCAGATGCCCTTGACCTTGCACTCTGTGAGCTACGGCACACATAGCAATCGACTTGTGAGAACGATGCCGCTCTGACCTGTGCTCTGTGGGACAGCATCCACCTGTGATGCTCCGGTGAGGCACCGTGCTGGCACCTGACGACACAGCGGCGAGCAAGGTGAGAGGGACCCGTTACAGCAACGGGCACGCTGGTGAGACGGACAGCTTTCATGATACAGATGATAAGTCTCTGAAAGAGACACAGCGCCAGGGGCCAGCAGCCCAAGCCGGCTCCTCACGGGGACACAGAGGGACAGAGAAGAACTGCCCCAGGGGGTTTCCCAGGTTCCAGAGCGCGCCGGAAGCAGAATGTTGCACCTGTTCCCCATGGAACAGCTGGTGGCTTCACACGGCGAAGCTTTCAGAGAGTGGCCAAGTGCCTAACCACTGCACCACCTGGAGCCTTTGTTTCTAGGTGCCATTGGGTCACCTGTGATGCACTGTGACCCTGAGAACGACAGACTGCCATGCTGCCCTGTCCTGTGCCAACATCACCATCCGGCCAGGCTCACGCCCACGGCTGTTACCGTCACCGTCACACTGTCTCATTGGGGGGTCGTCCCTTTCGCTGAACCTCTACTTTCCCAGCGTGACATCTTTCTCCAGGGACGGACCCCTCCTGAAAACCTGCCCAAAGTGTGGGAGGAAGTTTCACCACCTTTGCACCCATGGCGCCTCCTCATTGCACTTCCCCACAGACGGCCTCGTTTGATCTTTGGGTCAGCCACAGATGGTCCTTATTCCTTAGGGTTCTCTGCTGCTGCTGTGAACCATTGTGGCAGAACAGGCCCACAGCCGACGTTCCAGCAGCTTTTCAGAGGCAATAACTCACACGGGAGGAGGCTACCCCCCAGTGGAGCAGCTGGTGGATTCAAACCACATACCCTCGGTTGGCAGCACAACTCCTTACCAGTAGGCCACGAGAGCTCCCTTTAGGGCTCTTTGTTGTGTGATGGTGTACCACTGAGTCAGAACCAACCCATAGCTCACCCTCCAGGGGGTTTTCAGAAGCAGTTCATCACACGGGAAGAAAGTGCCCAACCTTTTCCTGCAGAGCAGCTGGTGGATTCGAAGGGCATGCCTTTGGGATTGCAGCGCAGCTTCTTGCCACCAGACAGCCAGCCAGGGCTCTTTAAGAACCCACAGACAGGAGCTTCTGTCCCTGCACCTGATACGGTTATTCAGCATCACCACTTGTGTTCTGAGGCTAAGCTGACAACTGGAAACCAACTTCCAAACACTGTTAAGCACCTCTAACTGCTGCAGTGAACATGCTGAGTTCATCAGTGAAAGTCTGGAAGGTTGAGTCATTGGGTGCCTTGGCAGAAAGGCCTGGCAATCTCCTGGTGAAAAACCAGCCGCTGGGAAACCAGTGCAGTCCTCTTCTCACGTCTCCTCAATGCAAAGGGCTCTTGTACCTTAATATCAACATTTTGTTCCCTGACTCCCCGATTTTCTTGTTTTTCCTTTTTTTTAAAAAAAATTCTTTTACAAGAACAATGGAGATGGGGTTTGGGGAGTTACTATCTGCTTTGGTTTGGGTAGGTTTTCCCCCTTTTCACCCAACTGTCTGGCTTTTCTATAACCCTGCTCCACGGACGTACAGAGCGAGGCCTCTAACCGTTCAACACTGCTCCTGCCAGCACCACGGGAATGCGCAGGGTCACTCCAGACCCACGCGCGCTGGAGACCTGCAATACTGGCTTTAAGTTTGTTAATTCTTCTTTAAGAAACTGAATAGCTGTTGAGTTTATAAACTAACCCGAGTTACAGACTAACTCAGTTGAGACAAAGTAGACGAAAGTTTTAAAATGGGGGGGAAATGACAGCCAGGATCTTTTTCAAATTTTCTTAACGATTCTCAGACAAGGACATTCTCAAGGTTCCCACACTAGTAGGTTCTTAGGTGGGGGCTACCCCACCCCCAGAGAACACCTAAGGTCACACCTGAGAGTCAAAGCGGGGCCCGGGATGCTAAATGGTTTGATGGTCTGTAATCTGCAGAGCTTATCTATCCTCCAGAACTAGGAAGAACTGTCCAGACCCAAGTGGTCAGTGGTGCTCCCCTGACCCCAACTGTGAAAGTGTAACCACGGACCCACTGCTTTCCTTTCGTGTATTTGCAGGCGCTGGGCACCAGAGGGTGCTGTGTGCGTAACACCCAAAACAGTAACAATGCCTGCTGGTCAACAAGATGCCTTCCATTTGCTCTGTTCTGAACACTTTCCAACAGCCCTGGGTCTTGTTTTTGGTAATGTTTTTAACTGTGGTTGTTGTTGTATACCTCAGAGTCAGAAACAACCCACAGTTGATCCTCTGGTGGGTTTTCAGAGGCAGTTAATCGCATGGGAGAAGACTGCTCACCCTTCTCCAATGGAGAAGCTGGTGGCCTCGAACCACATGCCTTCAGGATTGTGGCACAGCTTCCTGCCATTAAGCCACCAGAGCTTCCTGAGAGACTAATGTTATGCTGTGCTACCGAACTTTGAGGTTCCTACTTCCTCTCACCAGCTTTGGGCGTGTTAGCAGGAGGGGCCAGTCCTTGTGAAGGACTCACGCTTGGAAAAGAGATGGGGCAACAAAAGAGAGAGACCTTAGACAGGGTGGGCTGGAGCAGCGGCCGCAGAATGAGCTTAAACATGGCCACAGCTGTGAGGACGGAGCAGGGTTTCGTCCTGCTGGCCCAGAGTGAATGCGGGGAGCTGGAACCACCCCGAAGGCACCCAACAACAACAATGGAAACCCCACAAGTCTGAGACTCACTGCTGGTCGGGGAACAAGAACCTTGAGCTCAACACCTGTTGGCTGGCTCCAGGCAGCGCCTGGCCTCCTCCCCTGTGTGCCGTCCACGCCATTCTCCACCACGGCTCTTACCTGTCTCTGCACCCGCCGTGTCTGTCTCTGCAGCCTTGTCCTTGGGTTCTTTCTTCTGTGGAGCTGGGGTTGGGGCTGAGCTGGAGAAGACACCCACTGGAGCCCATTCCAGGTATAGGGGGACGTGGTGAAACTGCAGAGACAGAAGCAGAGGGGCGTGAATCCTCATCTCAGGCCCCAGAACAGCCTAGAGCTGACAAGACACGTGGCCCTACTTAACAGAGGACCCTGAGGGTCAGAGAGTACAGCTGACCACCAGCGAGACGGAACTGGAAGGAGGAAGAAGAGAACTGCCTAGAACTTTCCATGTTACTGAGTCTTGAAATCACACCTGGCCCGCTTTCTGCAGCTCAGGGTCCAGGGGCATGGCCACATCAGTCGTTACTGCACGTATAGCGGCCCCAAGGCCTCTTTGGCGTTTAACCGGAGTATGAGACAGTGAGTGAGCCGACATGGGACAAGATTCCCTGAAGAGGGTGGCTCTCCTGGAGGAATTACATGACGAAGGATCACGCCTTCTCTCTCTCCGTAATGCAGCTTTCTTTAAAAAATCCAGCTAAATGTTTTGCTGCTAGTGAAAAGGTTAGTAGCTTGAGCCCAATCAGCAGCTCCAGAGAGGAAAGGCCTGGTGACCTGTTTGTATCATGTCTGCGGCCTTGGAAAGCCCTGCGGGGTAGCTCCAGCCTGTCACACGGGGTCCACTGGGATTGGAACCAACACTTGACCATGAGCACACACACTGGCGCGCGCAAGCTTGTGTGCATGCGCAGCTTCTCTTTAAAGGATAAAAGAGATGCCGACTGCCCATGAGCACACACACCGGCGTGTGTGTGTGTGTGTGTGTGTATGTGTGTGTGCAAGCTTGTGCAGATTCTCTTTAAAGGATAAAAGAGACGCCGACAGCAGCGGCCTCCTGCGAGGCATCCGGTAGCTGTCGGGCAGGTGGAGGTAAACGTGTCAACACGCACGCTCTGTGACCCTCCCACGGTTCCGTGTCACACCCCAGCACACTCTCTAGGATGAGGTGGCAGCTCCACTTTTTGGCTGTGTGGCTTTGCAGCGGGTCAGCCCTCTCTGGGCCTCAGGATCTTCATCTGGGAGGGTGGGGCAGCAATACTGGTTAAAAAGGAAACAGAAGCAGTTTAACGTGAACAGAGATGCTGGCCAGCGAGCAGGCGCTCTCTGAGGGGGTGCCTGGGCTCACTCTGAGGACGGGGTCCCTCCTAACACAGGAGCAGATGCACAGAGGGCATCCACATCCCCCTCATGGGAGCTGGGCACCACACCTCACTCATGGCACAGAGAACTGCACTGCGATCCCGAAGGCACACGGTTTGAATCCACCCGATGCTCTGTGGGAGAAAGATGAGTAATCGCCTCCTGTGTGATTTACCGCCTCTGAAAACCTGCCAGAGGGTGAGCTATGGGTCTGTTCCAACGCCTCCCAGAGGCCTCCTGTGCCGGCTCAGGAGTGACTGGTTTGCAGAGAGCTTCCTGGGCAGGGAGACCAGCCTGGGACAATTATGGGGCTGAAGGAGGGAGATGTCACATCATTTTCCATCTGCGAGATGGGGAGGCCATAGTCCGCAAAGCACTGAAGGGCCTGACAGACTACTTTCACTGGGTCACATGTAAAAGATACATCAATGTCCTGAAAGAACCCATCTGAAAAGCGTCTCTGCAGATGCCGTTCAGCTAAAATCTCAAGACAAGCTCGTCTTACACCCAGGGACAAGCGTCCTTAGAAGAGTCAGAAAGACAAGAGGCCATGTGAAGACAGAGGCAGGGACTGGAGGGAGGCAGCCAGGAGCCAGGGAATGCACGGAGCCACCAGGAGCCAGAAGGGACAAAGGGCCCTCCGTGGAGAAGGGAGCCTGGCCCTGGCAACACTTTGATTTCAGACATGGAGCTTTCAGAAATGTGAGGAGAAAATGCTGTTCCAAATGGTCCAGGTTGTCGTGGCAACCACAGTAAATGCTAAACTACTGTTAAAAGAAAAATAACCAAACAAAACCCCCTCAAACTCCTTGTGGAGCTGGAAGTGACTCACAGCTGACCCTCCAGCAGATTCTCAGAGGCTGTAAATCTTACATGAGTGCTGACATTTATCCCTCAGAGCTGCTGGTGGATTCGAACTACACCTGTCTTTGGGTTGGCAGCACAACTCCCTACCCATTCGGCCACCAGACCTTTCTCAAAATTGCTGAAGTTTGTTCAGGAAACAGGAGCCAGGGCCCCTTGCGCAGCAGCTCTTCTGCTCCTTCCGGGGACAAGGCACCAGGAGCTCCAGCATGACGACTCACTCAGATGGACATGGGAAAGGGAGGGTGAGGGAAGCCGCAGTCAGCCCAGAAAGCCTTCCCGGAGGACGGCCTGGAGCTTCCCTCCCACAGCCCTTCCCCCAGAGGGGCACCCGGGCTGGCACGGGAACCTCAGGGCTAACAGTCATCACGACCAACCCCATTCTTCAACGAGATGGAAAAGGCAATCTCCAATTTCGTATGGAATGGGGAAAAGCCCCGAATAAGCAAAGCACTCCTTAAGAATAGAAGAACGGTAGGAGGTATCTCACTCCCTGATTTCAAATCCTACTACACTGCCGTAGT